TGGTTCTTCAAGAAAAGCTATCACTGAAAATTAGTCCAGTTAATATAGGTATCGTAATCGGTCCAACCTTATTTTTGTCTGTTGTCAGAAATACTCCAACATATTTAACAAGGTCTGTACAAAAAAATACTTGTATTAGTGGATAGATAAAGTGCTCATAGTTATGGAAAATTTCTGGATATTATGGGTTTCCAAAATACGTTTTAAGTAATCAGATTGCCTAAATAGCTTTTGCACAAGACAGACAAAATGCTGCAGATACCCTAAATTCCCATTTTGTGAACTTAATCCTAAACTGTGATTGTCAACCTTCAACATTCCTAATAGGATGAGGAAACAATTAAGGATCCATAAGTCTTGAATGAATTCTTGCTCTAAGCAATCCATGGGATAGCGGCTTTGACATAATTTTTGGTAATAAAAATATTACAGACGCAGTTCCGTATTACCTGATCCGATAACCGCAGTTATCAACTTTTTGTAATCTAAGTAAGAGGAAGCGACAGTATGTCCTTAAATGTAAATATATCTAATGCATCTATAATATAATAGGTGTGAATTAAAAAAAAAACATGCATTGTGTAGAATGTGTAGAAGAGCCCGAGCTAAAGGTATGTCGTCGTTTTCTAACATCTCATCTAGCAGTATTGAGAGATTGCTTCGACGAACATTTCTCCACTCAATCATCCTGTTAATACTACAATGCTAACGCGTGTGTTCCTCAACAATCGGTCTTGGCTTCACACTGTTTCTATTACGTATCTTCCTCCCCGTAAGAACAATCCGCACCTGTATTAAGTGAGTTAAACAGTGCCATCATAGAGATTTTTTATGACATTATACAGGGTGTTTCAAGTTCGACCCTCACCATTGGGATCTCGGAAACTGTAAGGGAAGGTCGGTTACATAAATGGGGCCATAGTTGCGTATTTAGGTAATCAACAAAATGCCGGATAGTAAGTCTTGGTAAATTCAAGTTCCGGAGAGAGACAAAAAACTGGATTTTCCCAAGCATAGGCTTTTTGACATTATGTAGGTTTACCTACCGTTTTACTAGGTGACATTTTACCGATCTTTTGACATTATATAGGCTTTTTACGTAATAACCCTGACCGATCCACAGCTTTGCTGGAATTCAGGGTGCCAAAGCGATCTGAGGGGCTGAGCTGGAGAGAAGTCTGGCAGCGACTTCATTTCTGACGAGAGATCTGAAACTTATAACAACAATCTGGTACAGTTTAATGCTTCCAAAACACAACATTGTCCTTGACTAACTAGAGGCGCCCCAGCGCTCATCCGAATTCGATGGATGGCTGAGTTCTACCAAAGCCGTTCATTTCATCAGGTGGGAGTCCAGATCACTGAGGACTTAACTGGCACGAACACATCTCGTCAACACTGCATCTGCTTAGAAAAAGCTATTTGCTTACGGCTTAGAAGTGCTTTTCTGTATATAACCTTCTCGCAGTGTACAACGCCCAATAAGACCTAGCCTTGACTACCGACAGCCTCTTTCGCATCGACGGGTGGTTGCTGCCTTCTACCGCTATGTCAACGGGCTTTGCTCCTCAGTGCTCTTCAGTTTCCTCCATGATGTCACCAGAAGGACTCGCCAGACTCCTGCGTCCCATCTCAAGTCTGTCAATTTTACGTATATCGAGAAGTGGCCGTAAACCATTCCTTTGTTCCTAGTGTGTCAAGATTGTGGAACAATTTACCTGAGGAGGTTTTTCCAAGTTCTGCAGATCTTAGGCTGTTCAAAAATCGGATCAGCCTTTGCGCTTCTTATAGCAGTTCCAGTGCCCCATCATTTAGGTTTTTGCTTAGGTGTATAAAGGTGCGTGAGACTGTGCTTGCTGTTTCCAGTAGTTTTGTTGGCTATTATTGCATTGCTGATGAAAACACAGAATTACAGACAATCAGTAATTATCGTCGTAACTTTAGAACACCATCAAGGGCCTGGTAAATTGACTGTGAATTCGTCGTTATTCCAGAATACCACTAGGCCGCAATGGGTTAATCGGACATCTTTATAAATGATTTTTAAGCTACTATTACAGTTTCATGTCTGATGTAGAAGCAAAATCCGTAAATAAATATCTTTTGGCAACAGCTATCGTGAGGGGCAGGGACTAGCTAGCGGCAGGGGACTCTCGCTAAAAAACGCAAGACTACGGCGCCCGCGATGTTTTGATGGCTGCTTCTGCGGTTGGCGTACTTGCAGGTATTTATACGATCGCAACGCCAATGACCTCTGTTGTATTTGTGCACAAGTTGAATGTTTTTCGTTTGTAAATGACGCGTCGCGCGACGACGCAACGTCGTATGACGGCCGACGGGCCGACGCGACGACGTTGCAGAGGTTCAGCTAAAAATAAATGCGGTGATTACCTCTGCATAGCAGAAATCTACAAACTTAGCTTCAAGTAGAGTTTCGGGCTGCAGGGACACTTCACTCTTGATTTTGGCCAATACAGTTGCGATGCGGTGGTTTTCAAAAAGCCCCCTCCCTACTTACTTTTTGGACGGGGCAAGTTATCAAGCTGAAATTCGGAATGGGGAAATTGATGTGTAGATGCCATATTTTGACGTAAAAATAACATTTGGTAATTTCACGATAGCCGCTGAGCACGAAGTTCTTTATTAATGAAATGAGCCATGTTATACCTCATTTTTAAACTCCTTGTCAGTACTTTGAAATCCTAGATTATAAAATGCCGTATATTTACAAAGTTACCACACGCCAAGCCGGTGTCTTAAACAGCCGTGATTCCCTAAATATTTTCCCCTGAAGATGCTAACACAGTTGACGAAACACGTAACAAACTGGTTTGACCAGTGGTAAAACTCTATTGTGATATTTGCTACGCCGAGAATCCAAAATCACATAAATAAATTACTGTCTTTCAAAATGGCGACCAACTCGATCTTGAAATTTTCACTTTTACACTAGTATTCAAGCACCAATTTCTTCGATATGAATTTCAGCTTGCTAGATTGACCCGTTCAAAGAAGTAGGCGTCAAGTAGGTTGACTCTGCACATCCCCCGCAATGCCGTATCAGTGCATAAAGGAATATGTTCAGCACAAAGGAATACGTGTGATTCCATACCAGAATACTCATCACGGTCGACGCACGACGATATCAGCAGCCGCGGCTGATAGGTACGCCATCCAACTCCCTCGAAACTATGATGTGTGAAATAAGTCTAATAGGCGTGTAGAATTACCAAGGGACAGTCGCGGGGCCCTTCGAGCTCTCGCACTACCGCTACACCATTGGGCTTAGCTCCTCAGAGCTTTCCTCCATAATGCCGCTACGTGACGTGCCTGCTAGACAGACCCGCTTGACTTGTGGCTCCCGTCCCAACCGTGTCGAACTTCGTACATCCAGAACTGGCCGATTCGACCACTCCTTCGTTTCTAGGGTATTCAGCTTGTGGAACAATCCAGATATGGAAACTTTTTCCAGTTCTACTAACCTTCAAGCGGTTCAAACATCGTATTAACTAAGTTTCTTTAAGAAGAAAAAAATGTTGTGAGCCTATACATGTACCAGCCTCAAAAGATTTTTACTTTTTTCGTTTTAGGTCTTCCCTGCCGCCACAACACCGATGTTCACAGTAACATTGTGTAAAAATTTCATCGAAATTATAGCGGTGCTTCTCAAGGAATAGGCGGTTATAAGATTAGTGGTCAGACCGACAGACAGACCGACGGAAAAGTAACATGGTTATTTGAGAAGCAGTATATCCGAAAAATATAGTCGCTCTGTACCTTGAAATCGAAACGGTATTACGAAATATGTAATTCCAATGAATGATTCTTTGACCATTTATAATTCAAGTATGGTGAATTATTTGGAGCTGCGAAACTTAAACACTGCAATATATGCGTTACACGATATCTTATTATACATATTTGCACCTAAGCAAACAAGGTTTCCAAGGAAAGCATCGCGATTGATAACAACGTTGTAAATAAACATGAGCTGCACAAAAGCATGCTTCTTCCTAGTGGCAAGATACCATAAATAGACTAATTTTATCTTGTGCATACATGTAGTACGGCAGACATAACAACGATAGTTGGTTTGATCGTAAATATGTCATAAAGTAAAGCCTGTTATTCTACCGACAATCGGACAAACACAACCATGGCACTTATTCCACTTTTGCTGGATGTTTCTACAAACGCGTTCAGGGGCGGACAGAAGGAAGAGAAGCGAGGGAAGTTTTTTCTAATGATGTAGATACGTCCCCAGAATATGAGAATGCGGAGAAAGAATACATCATGTCGCGTTCAGAAATGGGGCCAACGCATTGGAACCAACGTTAGCGCAAACTTGATATGATATGCTCATTCGTCTCTATTTTTTGATTTTTAGAAGATTTACTTGGTCAGGATAGAAAAAGATAACAACTCTGTTACTATCACTTATTTATTGAGTAGTTCAACAACAAAAATATTTTTTTATATTTTTCTTTGTAATTAACATAAATTAAGTCTTTATATGTACTCTCATGTTTGACATGGAAAATCACAGTATTGTTTCTTACTTATGAATAATATATACTTAAAATTATGGAAACTCTGTTTCTCTGTATGTTTTATATGAAACTAATTTTTCCCTCAAATTGTTTAAATTGAATGAAATACAAGAATTTAACTAAGTTATTGTTCATAAATAAAAGTAGTATATACCTGTCATATAAAATATACAATGAAGTACCAACTTTTTATAAAAAATCAAACCTTACTCTTTTAAAAATAGGGACATAAAGGTAACAGAGTTGTAGGACCCGTAACATAGTTGTTTTTTTATCACTAATTTATGAATATAATCACAAAACTTTCTCTTTGTAACTATGAGACATTAAAGCTTAAAAAGAAGTATGCTGTAACTGAGATCAAATTAAAATTAGTTAACTGATATCTTATTTCTCAAATATTTCTAAAGGAGTGGGGAAATGGTAATATACCCTTTTGTCCTTCATTACCTTTTTAGGTTCAGAAACAATTCTTATCAAACTTTCATATTGTTCATGTGATATATCATTCAAGAGAGAGACTTCAAGAATACTATTTTTACTTCTCCATCATCGTCTACTCCATTTAACGCTTTTCCAAGGTATTAGTTTTTAGAAGAGCAAATTTTTACTAGAACGTAGACTCCTTCTTTGATTTTACCGGGATGAACATTCTCCTTCTCAATTAACTTGTTATCATCATCTTTTCCCTTTGACAATCCAGGTTGATCATCACTAGATTCCGAGTCCGAACTGTATACAGCATTGTAAATAATTGATTTCCTGTTCTGAACAATTAAATTAGTATTATCTTCTAATGTAGCAGGATTACAGTCTTTTGATTGTTCAATCGTTTCCTTAAGCGGATAATAGGTTTTTGGACACATGCAAGAACAGAAACCACCCTGAAATAGCTCAACTCTCGATACTTCAGCGATGCCATTTCTTCTGTAAAAACTTGATGTACTTTCATTGTGCCATATAAAGGAACTATTTCTGTTGGAATTTCTCTCGCCATGTTTTCAAAGTCTTTATCAAGTATAAGGTACATCTTCACTTTGCTACTGTCTTTCAGAAGCTGATAGAAAGAAGAAGCATCAGAAATATCTTTCCCAACGGCAACAAATTGGTCAGCAGTTCGCTTAATAAAACCACCGATACCGACTGCCGCCCCCTTTCCATGACCCGCCTCAAAAAATTCCAAGTAGAACGTAGAAATAAGCTTGGTTTTAAAAAGAGCAGTAGAAAGGTGCAACATGCTATTATGTAGTCGGCAAAGACATTAACCGAAGGAGGCTTTACATAAAATGGTCTGTTTGCAGTGAAATTGCTATAACAACATTTTTGGTCAGGGTTGTCTTGCTGAAATGAGTGGAATAGATTCTTCATACTGTCCAACAAATAGCGTTTTTGTATCTTTGACTTTTTATAGGTCACAGTTTCTTTTTTACCCGCGGTAGCCCTAGATACGTCGTCACGATTGAAAAATTCGTGTAATTTAGCTCGTAGTACGCTTTTCTCATTCTTTGGTGTGTGTTTCCTAAAATAACCCTGCTTAGTATTTAAACAGTCTTTGATTATTTGCACTTTCTTCCTTGATTGGGTTATGTTATCTTCTTTAAATACATTTTGAATGATGCGTCTCTCCTTCAAACTTTTAATTTTGTTATACCGCTGTTTAATAGCATTTGAAAGAGCATTATATCTGTCGTCATGTGCGCGGCTTCCCTCATTTTTTCGGAGAACTGTATTGTATCTTTTCTTATATTCTTCATATTATTTTTTTAGTTTAGATCTATCCCTCTTTACTTTTTTTCTACCACGAGCTTTTGCACTTTCATTACAGTATTTTGGAGTCGAAGGCTGAGGAGTAGAGAGTCGAGGAGTGGTAAATCTTAGTGAAAAAAGCGGTATAGCACTATCAGATGCAGGAGGTGGAGGCGTCTCAGCTCTAGGCGTTGACTCTGGCGTATTCATAACTATTCGAAGTGCTCTTTGGCGATCTTTTCTTTTGGCATTCGCAACTCGCCATAGTCGATGTTCACGCGGAGTCATGTCTTTTATCAAGCGTTTATTTTTATGATATCTCTCTAAATCCTTTCTTTTAGCTTCTGCTTCTTTTTCTGGATTTAGTTTACGCTTCTCCCTATAGAGTCGCTGCTTTTCAGCAGCGGTGAGAGCCATAATGATAGTCGTATAATTATCTAGAACAAATTATTTTATTTATTATGCAAGATACAGACAGACTAACCACGACCAAAGCTTCAAACAGTTATATAATAAGTATGATAACAACTCTGTTACCCATCTACAACTCTGTTACTATATAATGGTAACACAGTTGTGCAGTAACAGAGTAGTAAATTTAACACTTCGTGTCTTTTATTATTTAAACAAAATTGTATTATGTTAAAATGTATGCACATAAGGTAATTATTTCACTATATCTATTTTGAAGTTTTAAATTTGTATAGAAATATAGGAATATTTACTTGAAAACGCCGGTAATAGAGTACACACAGCATAAAACTACGCGCCTCACATCATAGCCAACGGAAAACTGGTTTGTATACCCCCGCCTGACTTGCAACTGACAGTGTCGATAGAGCAGTAGACATAAAGAGACAACTGTTTCCATTGAAAATGTGGCGCCATCTATTGGCAGTTATCAAATATATGTGGTAACAGAGTGTAAGCTTACTATTTGAAATACAGCGGGACAACATTTTAAGTAAGCATAAGTAGATCAATAAATTATATTTACTAGGTATGGAACATGATGTTGAAAATGTGGAAATTGCTTAATTACTATAGCATTTAAACAAAGAGATCCATATTGTTTGATAAAATGGTATCACGATTACTGTATAATGGTCTGGGGTCTGGGACACATCTTTTTTGTATGAAAAACAACTCTGTTACCATGCATGACTACCCTGTTACATGACAAAATGGGTGATTAATCAATATTAGAGGCGTTAGATGCTTAAAAAGTTAGTAAATAACGTGTTCTTGAACGAATGATCCCATAATGATATGAAATGTTTCTAATATCTCAGCGAAAAAAAGTATTTTAGATTCGCGACATCATTTTCTGCAAGGGATTTGAGAATGACCCGTTTAATAAGTACCTATACAGCCGTGTAGCGCTTCAGTCAATTGATGCCACTTGTTTTCTTATTACACAAACCATAGTCAAAAGCAAAAAAAGAATTCGGTCACAGATTCAGAAAATTTGCTGTAATATACAAAGTGTTCCTTATTGACGTGCTAATCTTCCTGAATATGATATTTCAGATAGAGTTATGAAGAAAAGTGTTGTGTTTTTAAGAAAATAGTTCAAATATATTATGTAATTTCAATAGATCAACAACAACAGGTCGACATTATATTCACAGATTTCTCAAAGGCATTTGGTCGAATAAATCACTCCATTTTGCTTAAAAAAATGTATCAATTTGGGTTTTCTGGGGGCTTGTTGATGTTTTTCCGTTCGTATTTATTCATAAGCGTTCAATTTGTGCAGTATAACGGGTTCAAATCAGAATCATACACACCAAATACGGGAGTGCCACAAGGTACTAACTTGGGCCCCCTTCTATTTTTGATTTTTGTTAATGGTATCAACCATATAATAACAGTAGAAGACCAAATGTTTGAAGATGACCTAAAAATTTACTCAGTAACTCAGGGACAAGACAGCTTGGACCTTTTACAGGAAAATTTAGGCAACATTATTGACTGATGCCAGAATAATGATCTAATCTAAATCCCACTAAGTGTAAAATAATGTGTATTACCAGGAAACGGTCTATCATACCATAAGATTATCAATCACAAACTTGACAGAATACAGGAAGCAAAAGACCTAGGCATTACTATTACTTCGGATCTGTCATTTTCAACACACTTGAATCAAATAGTCAAATCAGCTACATGTATGCTTGGGTTCATTATTAGAAATTGCAGATCTTTTAACAACATAGAATCATTGAAAGTACTATAATTCACTTTAGTTAGTAGCTTAGTTGAATATGGTTGTATCATCTGGTCTCCTTTGTATGTTACATACCTATACAGGGTGTCCCGAAAAAAGTGTGCAATATTCTACCAGAGGTTTCTAGAGCTTAAAATAGGAAGAAAAGTATATATTAACATAGGTCGACAAACGTCCCATAAGGGCGCCACGGTCTTTTAAAGGGGCTCCCCTAAAGATGTTTTTTCCTTAATATTTCCGAAACGTGTTGAGATAAAGACATAAAATTTGGTATTCCAGCCTAGTTTTTTATGCTAGATTTAAAAATATTAACAATTCTAGACAGTTTTGTTTGGAAGCGTATGTAACAGGGACGGACTTTAGCCCCAAAATTTTTGTGTGATTCTATTTTTGAAACTCAGTTCTAGAATTTGAAAACGTAGAGTTTTCTACATAAAAAAAGGTACTCTTATTGAATATCGATAAATTGTGCCATTTTTGAATAAAATCAAACTAAAGAATTTGTCGCATGATAGGAAATGTATGCGAATTTAAATGAATTGTTGATTATACATAGTTAGCCATGACTGCAAACAAAAGATGTTTTGATTTGTTATGACTTATTTTGACATTAAGCTGACATTGTTAGCAGTGCAAAATTACTAGATTAAAATCAGGATTTTTATTAAATCTATTTAAAATGCCAAGATTTACAGACAGAGGACTGACTGACATGCATTTTGTGTATGGGTTTTGCAATGGCAGTTCATTGGCAGCCGTAAGAGAATATCAAAGAAGATTTCCCAATCGCATAGTACCTGGACGTTGAATGTTTACTGATATTTACCGGAATTTTTCAAACGATGGAAGTTTTCAGCGCATGCAGGCCTCAGGAAGGCCACTGGGAAATCATCGTATGGATATTGCTTTAAATATGTTTGAAAATTTATGAATACCTATTTGATAGTTATCCTAAAGACAATAATTTTAGATAGGAAGAATGACATTTAAACAGGTGCAGATTTTTTACCACGAATCGAGTTTTGCCAGTGGATATTAGCAAATGAAAACACTATTCCTAGAATATTATGGTCAATATTTACTAGGAATGATGCTTTCAATTTCAAGTAACATGCATCACTGGTCAGATGAAAATCCAAAAGTTGTTCGCCGTACAAATTTCCAACATAAATTTTCATTGAACTTATGGGCAGGAGTAATTGGGGATCAATTAATTGGGCCTATTGTACTTCCCAATCGTCTTATTTCAGAGGTGTATCTGAACTTTATTCAGAATGAGCTCATGGATATAATACCATTGGATGTGCGCCAGCAATTTCAAGAAAATATGTTTTTTCAGCATGATGGTGCCCCTGTACATTTTGGACGCAATGTTCGAAATTGATTAAATATCAATTTTCCAGACAGGTGGTTAGGCCGAGGAGGTCCTGTAGCGTGGCCGCCACGTACACCTGACCTAAATCCATTGGATTTCTATTTTTGGGGATCATTAAAAGACCTAGTTTACTCGACTGAACTAAATACTCAAGAAGATGTACTTCAAAGAATCCATCAGGCTGCAAATGAAATAAGAAGAGGTTTTCCACTTTTCGGGCTACGCAATCATTAGTTCGTCAAGCGAGACTCTGTATCCAAGAAAATGGGAATTTATTTGAACACTTATTGTAAAGCAAGTTTTAAGTATATTCAACTGTATGTCTTCTTTTTTAAACAAATTTCAATTTCCTTCGTATAAAAAAATTATTTCTTTTGTTTTTCCCTAAATGTTAGCTATGTTGCAATAGAAATATGTATTTATGTAATATTTACCAATTATTAAATTCGTTTTTTCGTTGCCATGGCTAATTATTCAACAATTCATTTAAATTCGCAGTACATTTCCTATCATGTGACAAATTTTTTAGTTTGATTTTATTCAAAAATGGCAAAATTTATCGATATTCAATAGGAGTACCTTTTTTATGTAGAAGACCCTAAATTTTCAAATTCTAACATTGAATTTCAAAAATGGAATCACACAAAAATTTTGGGGCTAAAATAACCTGAGTCCGTCCCTGTTACATACGCTTTCAAACAAAACTGTCTAAAATTGTTTATATTTTTAAATCTAGCATGAAAAACTATGCTAGAATACCAAATTTTATGTCTTTATCTCAACACGTTTCGGAAATATTAAGGAAAAACCATCTTCAGGGGAGCCCCTTTAAAAGACCGTTGCGCCCTTAGGGGACGTTTATCGACCTATATTTATATAAACTTTCCTTCCTATTTTAACCTCCTAAAACCGCTGGTAGAATATTGCACACTTTTTTCGGGACACCCTGTATATCTATAAGAAGATGCAAACTAAATTTTCAAAATATCTGTATTTAAAAGCATACGGTGCATATCCTGCATTCAACCATCCAAAGAAGGATCTTTTAGATCACTTTGGCATGGTCAGTCTTGACCACCGAAGATTTTTGTTAAGCTGCTGCTTTGTGCACAAGTCGCTAAGCAATCAGATTGACTGGGGTGAAATTTTGTCGAACCTAAACTTTACTAGGCCTAGGTTGAATAGTAGGAACTACACCATGTTTTATCTACCAAAAGCTTCAAAAAATATTATGTTAGGATCCCCTACATACAAAATGTTGAAATGCTTTAACTAGGTTAGCCATCTCTTTGAATTTGACATGAGCGAACATATATATATATATATATATATATAGTATTCATAGTTAATTGCCTTAACTGTTAGGAGAAAATATCCTTGAATTTCTTTGGATAGGCAAAGTTTTGTATAAGTACACTCTTATACGTAGAACTCGAGCTTTCGATGGTCTATGCCATCATCGTCTGGAGTAAGTCGGCGAGATTGTTGCTGAAATTGTTCTTAAAGGCAGTGAAAGGGTAACACATAGTCGACGAACAAAAAATTGGACCGATGAGGTTCGATTAGGACGGAATTATTCTATTAATAAATGGCAAACCAAAGGTGTTTTTTTGAAATCTTAAACACTGATTGATTTGGCAGAAATTGAAAATCAATCAACTACTGAAAAATCCTTCAAGATTTCATCTTTTCTGATAACCTCAACATTATCCAATACGTGCCGGCCTTCTAGTTAATATTTTTGTCTGGATGTAACGCATTAAACAACCGGGCAGTAGCTCTTGCAATACTCTCATTTAAAAACCTAAAACCTAATATCTTATTTTTGGACA